TATTATCATATTTCAATGCACACATTCATATATTTACACTCACACATTTATAAATTTTTCACTCACACATTTTTACATGTTGTTCTCATATTCATATATTTTAATGCTCATATTTATACATGTTGCTCTCATGCACATTCATTCAATGTTTACATTTAATATTATAAATAATATATGTATGAAGACAATGTATGTATGCAAGAGAAGAATGTATGTATGTGTGAGAGAAAGTATAGTGGAAACGGAAGGAGTATGGTTGAAACGGAAGGCAGGTCATTATCGCGCTGTGATTGGTTCAGAAGGTCGAGCGGGGCGGGCTCATGTTCAGAACTTCTGATTCAAATCAACATGATGGAGGGGGAGATGAATCCGATATCTTGGAACGGTGATAATATTATAAACAAGGGGAAACAAGGTGAATTTAGCAATCACAACGAAAACGGCCAAGGCACACATTGAGCCCAGAAAATGAATGTTATTAAGGGCTGTAAATATAATAAGCCTATGTCTAAAATGGACAACATTGTTAGGAGATTTAAACTATGCAGCGATTCTGCACTGCAGTCACTCAGCCGTCTCTCCACTTTGTCTTTTCAAATCAGCTGCTCTTCATTTTTTTTTTACAAATATTTTTTACCACAAGTTCTTAATAAAACGGACACTGTTGGACTCGGTATTATTTTGACTGCTACCAACAATAAAATGAATTACGTTTACTCCGTTCCGTTTCAACCATACTCCTTCCGTTTCCACTATACTTTCTCACATACATGCATTCTTCTCTGCATACATATATTGTCTTCACACATACATGCATTCTTCTCTTGCATACATATATTGTCTTCACACATACATGCATTCTTCTCTTGCATATATATATGTATTGTCTTCATATATACAAAATTAATAATTAATTTAGTTTTTATTATTATTTGTATTATTATTATTAATAATAACGTGTGCATAGACATTTTTCAGGGGCGGACTGCAGCGAGGAAGAAACTGCCAAGGTTCCCAAAAAACTCACTCAAGAAGTATGTCATACCTATGATCACGTATTTAGTATCTTATTGATAAGTGAAAAAGCATCCATAATTTAAAAAAGATAATCCTTTTTACCATGTTTGTGTCGAGTGTCATCAGATAGTTGCCAGAAATATGAGGTTTTTACTTCAAATGAATTCAGGAGTGAAACGCCTGAGACAATGAAATAGCATTTTGAATATTACCTTTATATGACATTTACTACGTAGTACAATGTTATTACAATGAATAATAAGTATCACCTACAATAGTCCTGAAGAATCATGGCACATGGGTATGTCCCCAAATATCCTGAGAGGATCTTAATCATATCAAATATTTAAAAAACATTTATATTTGACAAATATTAAGAATATAATATTTCATTCATCAATACACAACCGACTGAGGAGGTTCATGGCTTATCTGGCTCTGCACTGAAGTCTCCTCTGCTGTTGTTCGGCGCATTGTTCTGCTCAGTTGTTTCCACACAGGGTTTTCCTGTTTCCTCAAACAGTTGGCTGGAGTCGGAGCCAGCCTCTAGATCTGACTCAGGGTCAACATCACAGTAGAAGCTGTGGTCAAAGCCAGCTCCAGGATCAGTGCCAAGGCTTAGTTTTGGGATAATGCCAGGGGGAGATTCCTTCTCAGATCCAGATGCCTGGTCTATCTCTGAGCTGTCACCCGGAGACTCCTCTGCCTTTATATCTGGGTCAGAGAGCTGTCCTTCTGGTGGCTCCTCTGCCTTCAGCCTCCTGCGGCTGATCAGTTTCTGCAGCTGCAGCTTGCTGGTGAAGAAGATGCTGCGCCAGCCCACCTCCAGAGCCAGAGATGCTAATTCAGGGGACACTGTGTTGCAGCGACGATGCACCGCCTGCTCCCAAAACTCCTCTGAGCCACATAGCTGAGGAGCACAAGTAAAACTCAACCATTTGCATTGATTTAATTACACATTTATAAAAACAATAGGAATCTAATATTACTTCTGATTTAATAACCGTTTAGTTTTTTTTTAACAATGTATCAAAGATAAAATGTGCAGTGATGAAACCTTAAATAACAGAGTTAATGTTTCTAATCTCAGGATAGTTTTCTTGTTGCACATCTGTCTTTATGTGTCTCTGGAACTCACCTCCCTGAACCTGTGTGACGTTCGTCCAAGCTGACCCACGTCCTCCAGTTCTAGATCATTTATTATCCGCAGCAGTATGGAGTCAGACAGGCGCTCCAGATAGTCGTAATGGTCTTGGCACAGCGCCTTGGTGTACTGCAAGATTCGACGACCAAAAACCATACTGATCTCACCTGGAGAGAAGCCACAATCTGTACATGAAGCTATGAATACCTAAAGCACTATTATGCTTTTTGACCACATGATAAAAAGTAATGCAAACCAAACAGTTTAGAGGTAAATAATAAAGCTCTTACTCTGGAGCAAAGTGTCATCTAAGAAGTCCTGGTGAGACTCCTTCAACTCCCCGGGTTTGGAGTATCTGTCCACAATTCTGGGAGATATCTTCCACCATCTCCATATCACCTGGGAGTGACCGTTCAAAGGATCTTTGCTGTTAAATATTTTCACATCAAGCTCTAAAAAACACAGCTTTCCTCAAGGTGTTATACCCTCAACAATATAATACTGTTATTTACATCTAAAGAAAAGAAAAGGGAACTGTAAAACAGACTAACCTATGTACACAGTACATCCATAGTGGTAATAAATGTCGTTCTCTGGGCATGTCTGGAGACATTTTGAAAATAGGTCAAACAGTTGGCTGAAAAGTGAGTATTTCTTATCATGCTATATTTAGTCTTCCAGCACATGACGACTACTGTTCCATAAATAGAAATAAACAGCAGGCCCATGTGCCCAATGGCTAAATATGATAGAAATGTCGCTGAATCTCAGAAACTACGAGGTGCACGTTTAATATTTGAACTAATAACAAATTGTATATCTAACTTATCCCCAAATATGCAGTTTATTAAATGCCTTCGATATGAGATATTCCAAAACAAATATTAGCATTATCTGTCTGGTTTTCTATACTGACCTTTGATTCTGTATTATTTTTCCATTTTAAGGTTTTAGTTTGCATTTTGTCTTATCATAGCCTAGTCTTTAGGCGAACATACGTTTCTAACTATACGCAAGTAGTTTTTACTTGGTAACATGTTGTGTTTATAACCCTTTCTCAAATGTGTAGTATTGTACATACTGTATATTAAGTATTTTTACTTTTGATACTTGAGTACATTTAGCTGATCATACTTCTGTACATTTACTTAAGTAACATTTTGAACTCAGGACATGTATTTGTAATGGAGTAGGCTATGTTTAAATTGTGGTATTAGTACTTTTACTCAAGTTGAGCATCTGAGTACTTTTTCCACCAATGGTCTTACTACGGTTATTCTATCCAGACGTTGTTTAAACGATTTAATGAGCAAACATATCCAAGTTCAAAAGTAGCTATTTAACATTAGAAGCCAACATAAATAGCATTCAACTGCCCTGCAGCTTGCGTGCACGTGAGGCAAAGTTCCTGTGGTTACAGCAGGTTTAGCTAACGTTACCGTTAATAAAACGTTAACATTAGTTCATACTAGCAATGCAGTAGAGTAATTATAATTATACAATATCTATACTTACACCTGACTTGGTGATAGCAAAATGATAAAAGTTCTTGTTTGGTGGTGGACCGCGTCCGGACTTCTCAAACAACGGGTCTGTTAACAGGGACGCCATGTCAAACTCTCTGTGTTGTCATGGCAACTGCTTTCTCAGGTGGAGAGCTAAACACATGACAAGGTCCAAGCAAGAAGCTACATGTGAACAAAGTTAGCATTTAGCACGTTTTAAACTAAAGAAAATGACATACAGAAGAACGTATACAAGACAAAGGTTAACAGGGAATGGTTGCTCGATATGATAATACAAAATATACACCCCAATGCACAAAACTCAGTTCTACACTTTGCTTTGAGTCTAAACAGGAGTGTCAAACTCAAGGCCCGTGAGCCAAATCCGGCCCCCGACTTCCATTGTATGTGGCCCGCAAGAGCTTGGAAAGAATATAGGCCTGATACGTTTATTACGGTTACATTCCGCTTTACAGAAGCACGTTGCCCATAAACTACATGTCTCACAATAGAGTGCCACAGTGACGCATACTAAAACCCGGGAGTAAGCTGCGCATGGGTTCCTATGACAAAAAAGCAATGCAATTTCTCCATAGGATTTTGGAAAATAGCTCCAAATAAGGTCTGTGGTTGACACACATTTAAGAGACGGATCACGTTTTGTTCAGTCGGATAATCTCCACATGTCTACCCGACTTTTATCATTTTCGAATCATAAATCTAATCGATAGGTTTAGGAGCGTCACTGTGCATCTCATTTTGTGTCATGCGCAGTGAAAAGACTTGTATATATGTATATCAAAGTCAAAAGTCAAACTGTATTGTCAATCTTTCAGTTTGTGTGTAGGCTACAGACAGAGAGATCGAAATACCGTTTCCCACAATCCCAAACTATATTTAGGCTATATAGTCGTAAAGTTACAACCGGCCCTTTTGAGTGCAACCATAATGCTGATGTGGCCTGGGATTAAATTGAGTTTGACACCCCTGGCCTAATACAACAGGTCTGCAATTAATGATTCCTTACTAAAGGATAACAGTAGGGTATACCTAGTGTTTATTCAACCATATGTCTACTTTGGGGGCTTAGCTTTTGTTTGTTTAAATGGAGACACCTTTCTAATATTCAATCTTCATTGAAAGGTATTAAATGGATAGGATATTAGCTTTCGCAAGAACATTCCTATTACAACCTTCACAGGGACAGGACTACTCACACAGCTGTCGTATTAGTCCCAAATAATTTCAGATGAGAATGTATACACCTCACAAAGACAGTGTTTAGTCACCTGTCTGAATGAATAATCACAATGTATAGTTACACAAAGTCGACATTGTAGTTAAAAATCTTTTAATTTATTTATACATATATTTATATATGTACACATTTACTAACCTATTCTTGCAAAGACAAGAAACACATTGTCAAATTCATTGTTAGTCATTGGTGGCACAATTGAGAAACTAGTACGCCAGAGTCCCAGGCTGATCAAGTAATGAAGTAATCCCGACATCAGTTATTTCCTCGGCCTAATTTAAAGCAAACTGAGGGGAGAGCAACATTCCTCCTCATTCTGTTCTTCTGAAGGCAAAGAAGAAGACAGATATCAAGGGAGTGTAGTGATAAAACTTTTCATACATATTTTTAGTTTGAAAAGGTTGTCCATTTTTTCTGGTTAACCTGTCATCGAGTCACCCGCAACCATGTGAAAAACTACACCACTTGTTTCTCAACCCTGAAGCTTTCTTAACAGTCTTTCCGTTTGTCTTTAACATATTCATAAAATATAGTGAATATCTGAAAGCAGGAGATTAAATAAGAGTATATTTAACAGTTTTACCAACATTTAGAGAATAGGTAGGGTAACAGGATATACAAATAGTCATTTGAAAGCCTGCACTTCTTGTGTCTTCCCTTCGTTTGTGCTCTGGTAGACATGCCTCTCCAGTTCCAAAATTATGGTGGCCTCTTGGTTTCAAACCAAAAAAAGAGCCACAACCTTTTTTTCACAGATACTGGCAAAATTAATAAAACAATGACAGCTGAATCGCATCCTCCTGCTTGGGATGTTACACTAGTTTAAAAAGACGTAAGCTTTGATGCTTTGAGTCATAGGCAACTTGTAAGTTAAAGGTAGGGTAGGTAAGAATGGAGAACCCAGCTCGAGTGCGCTAGAATTTGAAAGTACGCAGCCAAAACAAATCTGGCCCTTCCTTCAGACTTCCTTACAGAGCCCCTCCTCCAACACACATGACCAATGAGGGCACGAGATACATTTGTGCACAGATGGAAGGCTGACAGGCAGGTAGGCCATCCAGTTATTTTAGCCGGGCTGGCACAGATGATTAGTCGTGCTTTTTACAGTACCATGGCTTCCACAGATGACATTTATGTAAATGTTATTGTCAAAGCATTTAATATATTCATTGCTATCGGGATGTTAAGAGCATTCCATGGAATATAACAAAAAGTGTTTCTGAAGTGAATTACCTACCCCACCTTTAATAAAGGACATTTCTCACATTTTGCAATTGTAACAAAAATAAAATCCCTTTTGAAATAAAATACCTGCATCATCATGGATTTGGATGGAAACTTGTTAATTGTCTTAAAGTATATACCCGTACCTATGGAGATTGTAGTGAGGTATTTCTTTCCATAAGGCATGTGTATACTTACCAATGGTAACTCAGTCCTTGTCATACATAACATGTACTTAATTGTGATTACAAATGATATGCACAGAGCTTACAGTCATAAACAAAACATAAGAAGCATATACTGTATTGTATATAATCCAAACAGTACATTTCCCCATAACAGTCCCTTAGTCTTCAATATAGTCCTTTGTACTCCTTCATAGTGTTGTAAACTTTTTTTTTATGAAAAAAAAATGGAAGTCTTTAAAAATAGAATGGTACTGCTACTAATGCATGACGGAATGGTGCGTTGAATATGTGCTGCATGCTGCCCTCTGGTGGCAAAGGTAAGAGTTGTGCTACAGGAAAGGGTTGGTTGAACCCCCCGAAGGGAAGGCCCCTGCTGGAGCACCCGCCTGAAATCAGAGACAGAGAACATTCTGAAACAATTCAAATGAAATTTGGCAGTATGACTTTTTGAGCATTAAAGCATGGAAACATGTCAAACTTGAAGCACACAATACAAATATAAACCTGAAAATAAGCATAATAGGGCCCCTTTAATTCAAAAAGTTGGGAGAACAAAAGGCAAAGCATGCTCACCATGAAAGGGTTATAGGACATGCCAGGGCCAGCCATGGGCTGCCCAAAGTGCGACATGGAGGGCTTGTTATGACCATAGACTGGGAATGCAGGCCCTAGAGGGGGATACAGGGAGAGGGATTTACAACAGGTCAAGCGGTCGCTCTCAAGCAGTTAAAGGGGAACTTAAGTATTTTTCAACCTGGACCCTTTAAGTGTTATTGAGCAGGAAAGCTACAGCCAAAAGCTGATAATGGGCTGCAATATAATCGCGTGGGGCAACCACATGTCAATGTCCACTAAAAGGTTTTTTTTTGTGCCAATGACAGTGTCGAAGTGTTATTATAAAAGTCTGACAACACAACATTATGGAAAGGATTATTTTCGCTTGATCTGCTCCGTTCTTTAATGTGATGGGTAACTTGTTGGAGAGAGCCGATGTTTTTAGTGACAAGGCTTAATAATAAGCTGATATCGACAATGTGATTGCAAGACTTCTCCTTGAGCAAGATATGGATGCAAACATTAACAAGCAGATAGGAACAATAGCAAGCAGCCTGAATAAAGCAAAAGGTTAAGAAAAATGTTATCTCCTGTTGGGTCCTTTCGATAATGTTGTCATACACTTATAATAATTACTACCTGAGCCTTTTAGTCATAAACGAGTCAGAAAAAAGCACTTTTAGTTGACGTATGGAATTGCCCTAAGCCCTGAACTCAATGCTGGACCTGTGTAACAATGTGTAACAATAATATTTGATTGCAACTGTTACATTAGACAATAAATAGCAGGCTATAAAAAAGTAAACAAAGATAACAAATCTTTAAACACTGGCCAAAAGAGTTTTATGCATAATGAGTACATTTTTAAAGGTGCTAAGGGAGTAAGGCTGTAGAAGGGGAAACAAAATAGAGCCAAGCCCAGTGTGTCAGATTGCATTCAGGTGTGAACAAAGCTTTATGAGTGATGTCAGATAAGTGCATTGAGTTTCTTGTCCTGAGCAGAACCCTAAAGCTTTGTACACTAAATGCAACCTTTTATAACTGTGCAGTAGCTGCCACGTCACACTTTGAATTTAGAAGCAAGACTAAACACCAAATGCATCATGTAGATTGCTCCACCACTAAATCACTGACAGCAGGTACTGCACAGGGCAAAGGGTTTAGAGGACAGAGGGATTGTGGGAGGCCACTAACCATTAGACTGAGGGTGGTAAGCCCCCGGTTGAGAGTAAGGGATGGGAGCCTGGCCAGGGAATTGCTGCTGGAAGTTTCTGCTGAAACTGGTCGGGAGGCAATAGGAAGACACATTCCCAAAGCCGGCGGGCATGCTCATAGAGCCGGTGCCAAAGGAGGCTAGGAGACAAAGTATGTGTGTACACAAAGGCACAGCACACCAAACACAAGGAGGAGTACATTCTACATGATTTGGCAAATCACAAAGCTACTTGGCAATGTAACTGGGTTACATGTCATTAACACAAATGTGTAATTGAAACATGAGTAAATAAGCTAACGTTTATATGCACACACACCTGCAGCTGGAGCTCTGCCATTGGCCTGGAAAGGGTTGGTGGCCATCTCCGGGCCGACGGCTGCAGCAACAAAGGGGTTAGTGGATGGGACGCCTGGAGGAAATGCAGGAGGAACTTAGCGTTCAAGCTATGTGGGAAAATGTACAGCTCTGAACCTGTATTTCATTTTTAATGCATCAATGTAGTCGTAACAACTATTTACCACTTCCGAAGCCAGGCTGCATGCTGGGTAACACAGGTGGATTCTGGGCTGGCGATGAACCAAGAACAGGTCCAAATAAATTCCTGTAAGGACAAAGATCAGATTAAATGTCTTGACTTTCGTTCGACACGTGCAGTTAGCATGGCAGGCCTAAATTAAACTTTAAAACAAATTCTGAGTTACTGCTGTGTTTTTGTATTCTGTTTTGAATTGCAAACACTTGAGCTGTGCAGGTCATTCTTATAGAGTTTGTCTGGATTGAGATGTATTTCTCCAAGTGTCCAAGTTATTAAGCCCAGTACTTGCTGCCCAGTTCTGCTTCCTTCCCTTCGTGATCCTTTCTTGTTTGATGTGTGAATACACTCAGGATTGCTATTTACATTTGATTGCAAACAATCAAAGATTATTTATATAGCCCAATATCACAAAACACATTTGTCTCAGGAGGCTCTTCAGAACAACAAACATGAATGACAGTGTTAAAAGATATAATAAAATAACAAGAATATAATAAAATAACACGATAGAATATAAAATACAATACATTCTTATTAAACAGATGCTCTCACAAACTGACGCAGAATCAGTTAACTCCCTTCTTGAAACCCATTTTATAGACTTGCTTTATGCCATTTTTCTTTTAATGCTTTTTCTTTTGTATTTTATTTGTTCATTTTATATTTATTGAAACTTTTTATTTTTCATTTTCATCTGTTTACCAACTTATTAACCTTTATCTTCTTGTTATAATTTGACCTTATACTGTTTTGCTTTTGTCTGGCCCTATTGTTCTGCTTTCTGTTGTGTTGTTGTTCTATTGTTATATATATACTGCTTTTGATTTGTCTGCCAAAGCCCTTTGTGATGTCTGATTAGGAAGGTGCCATATAAATAGTTATTATAATTATGCAGAGGCAGCCTGTGTAGGAAATGAACAGCTACTGGTGCACATTTATTAGCAGTGCTATTGCAATGTGTGTGTGTGTGTGTGTGTGTGTGTGTGTGTGTGTGTGTGTGTGTGTGTGTGTGTGTGTGTGTGTGTGTGTGTGTGTGTGTGTGTGTGTGTGTGTGTGTGTGTGTGTGTGTGTGTGTGTCTCACCCTGGCACGCTGCTGCCTGAGTTCACAGAGGAGCTGAGCTCGTTGTCCAGCTCAGCCAGAGCAGCGTAGCGGTCCTCTCTGCTGCTGCCGCCTATCTGGATGGGGACGGCACTAGACATTGACAGAATTGGCACACCTCCCCCTATGACACATTTTGGTGAGATAAAAAGATGGTGAGATATTCAAAGACGTGTGGCATGCATACATACAAAAGGTCAAATAATAAAAACAAAGAATTAGCCAAAGTATTCAGGACAAGTGTGATATTGTGTAACAGCTTTATGCTAAATGCTAATTGGGGGTCTCCTTTAAGACCAAAATGTCATAAGAAATCTGCAAATATGCTTACATCAAATGTGTAACAGTATTGATGACCATCACATGTTCTTAGCATCTATAGAGCACATGCTTGACACAGAAAGGACTCACCAGTGACCACCAGAAATAATTATGAAAAATACTGAGATGAGGATGTGTGGACACGGTGGAGGAAAGACAATGGTGGGGGGGTGGGGGTACCTGATGAAAAGGACTTTGGGGGGGGTGACGTGCTCAGATGGGATGGAATTGCAGTGTTTCCAAATGCATCAAAGTTGGCAAAGTTGGTGTCTGAATTACCCTGAGGTGCTGTAGCCGTTCACAAGGAGAAATGAACACATATGATGAATGTGGAACTTAAAAACAATGGCAGGGAAGTAAATGCATGGAGTGATGACAAAACAAATGCTAAACACGACTATGTTTCCGTATTGATCTGTATGGTGCCTTTGAGAGAGCTTTCTTACCCGAGTGGCTTGGAAAATGTGCAAAGTTGGCAAAGTTGGTAGAGCTGGAAGTTTGAGTGGGTGGAGCAGCGAAGATGTCTCCTCCCAGGTCGGCGAGGAGGTCAAACTTCTTCTCCTGAGCAGCGATGAGAGCCTGGGAACGACCTCGCCCCGGAGACTGGGCAGCAGCCAAAAGAAGTAGAAGTTACAACCTTTCTCCAACCAAATTCCAGGACATCATAGATGTTTCTTATTGGGCAGATAGAGCCTTATATTCACAAAGAATGTATTGCAGCCGCAGATTGCAACGACAATTTTGCATCATTTGCAGCCGCTATCTGCCCAGTGTCAAGGTCCAATCCATGTGGCAAGGTAGGGCAGATGTGCGTCAAGTATGGGGGTAAACGTCAGCCTGAGGCAGAGGTCTTGTAAGAATTACTACTTTCATTCAAACCTCCCAAACTAAGAGACGGAAATATATGAAAATAAGCAAAAGGATCAAATGAAAGCGCAGGATTAAGGAAGAAAATCATTTGTTTATTCATAGGTGGAGCTTTGTTTATAAAATGACCTTACAGTAACTGCGTGTGACTATTAGTGCAGTAGGGTAGTTTTTGAAATAAGGCTCATTTACATAGAAGGGGGCTTATTTTTGACTTAATGGGCAAATTCCCTATTTTTGAAATATTTACAATTGGTACAGGATCACAGAGACGCTATTTGCTTGGCAGGACAGTAAGTGGTACATTTCACCCTTTGCAGGTGCTTTCAGAATTAAACCCAAACCAATTTTAACTTGTATAGGATTTTTTTAGACATGGGAAAATAAGTGATAGACTATTTCCTGATTGCTAGAACGCATGGTTAGAAAACAAGAGTGGTTACTACTATTTTACATCAGTGACAAATTCAGTCTCTCTTTCAAACTCTCAAACCAGAGTTGATGATTGGTTAAACTTTTAAAAAATAATGAAGATATTTTTGCATGATTTTGTTCTGTCGAGTTTTATTGAGGTGTGTTTTACAACGCTAGGTGAAACTACTGTTTGACTGGAGTTTGTTGGATTTGAGCAGAGCACAATAATTGTTACCTTTAAATGTTTATAAATGACAATTTCCCTTCAAGACGCATCACAAACATTCGACAGGAGTAAGGGCGAACATTATTATGGCCACACAGGTGAAGCTAATCGGTGCTGGAGCCGATAAATACTGTGACTACTGCTGAGTCATTCGTCCTGGGAATGAATACCGATAGTAACGTTTCAAAATACAAAGCTAGATTTGAGCAGGTGTTTACGTTTTATTTGTCCAGCATGTTTAGTGGCTGCACAAGTCATGTTATTTTGTGTGAGTTCGCCCTCAGTGTGTATTTCTGTTACCTGGTGCAGAGGGGTCTTGTTGAGCTGCAGGGTCTTGAGGGGCTGGACTTCGGGGGTGCTGCCAGTGCTGCTGGCTGAAGAGCCGGACACAGAGGCCTGCACACTGGCTACTGCCCTCGCCTGGTCTGGAGGGACATACCTACGCATCCAGAGAACAAAACCAACACAAATGTAGAGGATTGTTTTTGTCTTTTATTTAAGTTAAATACAGAAGCAGCTTTTTAACTAATCGTATAACTACGTGAAGACAACAAAATGGGTAGTTATTCATTTGATTGAGTTGCGATAAAGGCTAGTACAAAAGGGAACTTCCTCCCAGTGTTTAAAATGTGCTCTTTCCACCAACACTACAGTTAAAGAGGAAAGTGACACGTACACAAAGAATGTCCTGGATAATGAAGAGCATGCTATCCAACTAAAACACATGGTTAACCAAATCCATAACTTTATGGCAGAGGCAGCGTTTAAACGTCAGCACTCTTTCCCTTTGCATGACAGCAAGTCAGCAATACTGAATGCCCCGCAGGACTTTTGAATTTTAAGCACTTTATTTAGCATTTACTACCTTTTAAAATATATTTTTAAAAGCAGTTGCATGCACTTATAAGTATGAATTATTCCTTTATTTCATTAGTGCATCATAAAAAACAAGTTATTCTCTTCCCAAGACATATCAAACAAACAATAAAAAAAACAATGAGTGTATGTTACCATCTTTTCTTTTCATATTTTTCTTGAAGGAACTCTTTTACTTTCTGTGGCTCTCGGAAATCTGGAACAACTAATGTCCTGTCGTCATAGAGGCCCAACCAGATGTGTTTACAGACCTTTTGGGGGGTGGGGGGCAGAGGAATGAGGAGAGTGGGAGGTAAAGGAAAGGATTGGGGTGGGGGTGGTGGCAAAGCCGGGAAGAGAGGTGAGAGAAAATAAAGGGAAGGGGGGAGGGGATGACGAGAAACGGGAGAAAAAAGTGGGGAGAGAGGAATGCCAATAAAGTTGACTAAGCAGGGTTCAGAAGAATGCCAAGATGCTCCAGAATCAGAGCCAGAATGACTGCAAAACTCTGAATAACATTGTGAAATATGCTGAGTCACTAGTTGTAAAATGTGCACGGTACCTCATTGCTGTGTTTCTGTAGGAACTCGATTTCCTGATGTGTGAATGTGGTCATAGAGATGGACTTCACTCTGTGTGGGGGATTCAGTCCTCGTCTGTGGGTGAGGAGCTACATGTTAGCTTAGGAACAAGAGAGCAGGATGCAACCTGATGCTGTTCATGGGACAGGAGAAAAAACAACCACACATGCATTGACATATTTTCTTCTGACATGTTGGACCTAATGTTTTGGACATGGTAACTGAATGCCAGTATGAACATTTGACAAAATACCTAAGAAAAGTGATACTAGTTAGCAAGTGACACACTTTATGAAATACCTTACAGTTTTGGTTTTAATCTCAAGGGATGTTATGGTAAATATGATTTCCCAACATCAATATAAAACTAATAAAATGAGTTACCGTCATGTCCTTGACGTCAATCATGACTCACCAGAAGAAAAAAATAGAAAAACATACGTCTACTGGCAATGAAAAAGGAGTCTGTTAAAAGAGTTAATTCATAAATATTTGCGATATTTAATCGATTGATTTCAATTAGAAATTACCTAAACCTTAATATCTCAATCTCAATCTCAATCTTTATTTATTTATATAGCACATTTAAAACAACCTTCAGTTGACCAAAGTGCTGTACAGGCAGTAACTATAATATTAAATAACACAATGGGAGAATTAAAAACATAATAAAAAGCACAATAACTAGAAACATATAAAAAAATAAAAAAATAAAAAACACATACAAATATAAAAATGTAATGTTCAACTAGTATTAAAAGCCAGTGCAAAGAGGTGAGTTTTTGGCTGAGATTTAAAAAGTTCAATAGACTCAGCAGTCCGGATATGTGCTGGGAGGCTGTTCCACAGTCTGGGAGCTGCAACACTGAAGGCCCTGTCACCTCGGTTTTTTTTAATAGAAATGGCAGAGATTTGTTCAAAGTCATAAGTGTAGCCAATACCATGATAACAATATCAATCAATCAATGTTTATTTATATAGCCCAATATCACAAATGTTACATTTGTCTCGGTGGAGTTCACAGTTTGTACAGAATATCAGTATGACAATACGACACCCTCTGTCCTTAGACCCTCACATCGTACAAGGAAAAACTTCCAGAGAAAACCCACAGTTTAAAGGGGAACATGGGAGAAACCTCAGAGAGAGCAACAGAGGAGGGATCCCTCTCCCAGGACGGACAGACGTGCAATAGATGCCGTGTGTAAATCGAAGAGATAACACATTTACAACATAGGTAGTCCAAATGTTTGGAAATGCATGTGTGTATAATAGGAAGATGAATCCACGAGGATGTCAACAATCCTGTGGGAGCCATCAGGGAAGTAGTATGATGAGAGTCAGGCAGGACCACAGTGACAGGTTCAGCCATGACTCGAAATCCCGGACTCAAATCACGACTCAGGATCCCGGTGTAGATAGACACCAAAAAGAAATTTGAGGGAAGCTGGGTTATTCGGAACATGAGAGTACACAGGTACAGACAGAGAGAAGGAAGAAGTAAGGCTTCCCCCGACAAACTAAGCCTATATCAGCAAAACTAGGGGCTGAATCTAATCAGCCCTAACTATAAGCTTTATCAAAAAGGAAGGTCTTAAGCGCACTCTTAAAAACGGATAGGGTGTCTGCCGCCCGAACACAAACTGGAAGCTGATTCCACAAATGTGGAGCTTGATAAGAAAAGGCTCTGGCTCCCATTGTACTTTTAGAGACTCTAGGAACAACCAACAACCCTGCATTCTTGGAACGCAATGCCCTAGTAGGACAGTAGGGTATAATGAGTTCTTTAAGGTAAGATGGCGCCTTAAGGGCTTTGTAGGCGAGAAGAAGAATTTTAAATTATATCCTGTGTTCTATAGGGAGCCAGTGTAAGGCAGCCAGAACAGGAGTAATGTGGTCCCTTTTCCTAACTCTGGTTAGTACACGAGCTGCAGCATTTTGAATCAGCTGAAGCGACTTGACTGACTTCTTGGTACACCCTGATAATAAAGAGTTACAATAATCCAGCCTTGAAGTAACAAATGCATGGACTAGTTTCTCTGCATCGTTTTGAGGCAAGATATGCCTGATTTTTGCAATGTTACGTAGATGGAAGTAGGCGGTCCTTGAAATTGATTTTATGTGGGCGTTAAAGGATAAATCCTGATCAAATATAACACCAAGATTCCTTACAGTCTCACTGGAGGCCAAATTAATGCCATCCATAGTTAGTATATCTTTAGATAGTTTGTTTCGTAGAGTATTTGGGCCAAGTACAATAACTTCAGTTTTGGTCGTGTTTAACATCAAAACATTTAAGGTCATCCACGTTTTTAAATCCTTAAGGCAGTCTTGAATTGTATTTAGATGATTAATTTCATCAGGCCTGATTGATAAATATAGTTGAGTATCATCCGCATAACAATGAAAGTTTACAGAATGATTCCTTATAATATTGCCTAACGGAAGCATATATAATGTGAACAAAATAGGTCCGAGCACTGAGCCCTGTGGCACTCCATGGCTCACTTTGGTTTGCGTGGAAGATTCATCATTGACACGTACAAACTGAGAGCGTTCAGATAGATAGGACCTAAACCAGTCTAAAGCAGTTCCCTGTATGCCAACTAAGTGCTCTAGTCTTTGCAATAGGACTTCATGGTCGATAGTATCAAATGCAGCACTGAGATCGAGCAAAACAAGAATAGAGACAAGTCCCTTGTCTGAGGCTATGAGAAGGTAATTTGTGACTTCAACCAGAGCTGTCTCCGTGCTATGATGTGTTCTAAAGCCAGACTGAAAATCTTCAAATAAATCTTTGTTTAGGATGCAAGTCTGACTTCCATCCAAACTGAATATACATTTTGAGTGTCAGTAGAACCTTTAAACCCAAATATTCTTATTCATGCTTCATTGTTTTGAAACATTAAATAATATCTGAAAGTAATATTGATATTTTTTTAAACATGGTTCCACAGAAGAAAAAAAAACTTAGTATAACATTTAAAAGTAACAACAAAAAAGTTAAAACTGATGTCTACATAGTGAAGCAATGGACTCCTGTGTTTACTTCTGTAACATAGTGACATCACTGTGTTACACTCACTCTTGTATTGGCTAGCACTCCAACACATTGAACATGACGGCTAAAGGGCGGGGCATCTCTCAGTAGTTGACCAGCCAGCTAACCAATCAGAGCAGACAGAGGGTGAAAAGAGGTGCTGCAGCACATAGAAACATGTCACAGTAAAGACATAAATAAAAGTATGAACCTGAAAATGAGCATAATTAACAAACAAATCTGTTACAAGATTACTGAATCCTAGCTTGTTTATATAGCACAACATGTGTTATATTATATTATATTGCATCCAATTTATTTTTGCATTGTTGGAGGAGCCTTGGACTTAAAATATTCATTGCCAAACTCACTGGAGCCATTCTGCCTATAACAATGAAGCCTTTGAATTTTGAATCATCTTTTTAATAAGCTATGTATTTTCTTGAATAAGTAGTCAGAATAATGAGGGTGTGTCTGTGCAAGGGGACGGCAGCAATGATGGGCAGCAGAACGCCTGAGGTGACCCCAGACGAGCTGTTTACCAAATATAGGAGACACATTGCGATCAACAACTATTGCTTCACCAGTTGCGGCTTGATGGCAAATTGACAAAGACAAAACCGTTGCTGAAAAAACAACTTGACATGTAGGTCAGTGTTGGCTATAAGGGATGTGGGCTCTATGGTCTGATGAGTCCAATACACATTTAACCAGCACCACAATGAAGGCTTGTGGTGGCAGCATCATGCAGCTCTGGGAAGGAAAGCTTGTGGGGGTCAGACACTAAAGACACATCCTGGAGAAAACCCTGATGCAACCTTAAACAGGAATGGTTGAATAACAACAATGATAGTGTCCTGGACCAGAGGCCTGTACTACGAAGCAGGATTTTTGCTTAGCCGGCTAACTTCAGGGAAATCTCGGGCTTTCCGGTCCTACGACACTGGTTCTCTTTTTAGCGGGCTAGATCTCCATGGTAACTGATGCTGAACGGCTAACCTGCTCCGGAGCAGGTTAGGTTGCAGGCTAAGAGATCAACTCAGTGAAAGCACCGCCTGCTGACCAATCAGAGCTCAGTGTGCAGAGTTTAAAGCTATCAAGTCATATTACAGGAGAAAGGAAATACAGTTTAAACCTCCGTTGCAGGAAAGACGGCCGTCAAAAATCACCGACTGTGTGAACGTGAACATTAATAGAATATCACCTCTTCAGAGCAATCTGACTATTATAACATTAGTGTTAAGAAAGCTTAATTAAATATCTGCCACAACATAAGTAACCGGATCAAAGTAACATTACGTACAGTCCACGGCACTGTGAGTACAGATGTCGATGTGTCCCATTATCATTCATATCACATCACATCATAATGTATCATACGTTTCCGTATCTGAGTCAGCTGAGCCGTATCTGGCCGTGCAACACTCACAGTGTCACATACTGTATGCAGAAGTATTATTTTAAGCAACACATTAAGTTGAGGAAACACTTGAGTCAAATGTAATTAAAGTCAAATCGTGTCTTAGACGGGGCAGTGATATCATAAACCTGTTAATGTACGCATTCAAACACTTTTTCTTTTGCTAGCTGTATTCACCTTGCAGGTGCAGCTATGTGACTTTTATCCTGGATAAAGTGTTTAAGTCATGGATGTTTAAAGTTGAACTTCTTCATATTTCATTCAGGAAGTATGACGCTGCGCTGTCAGTACGCTTCTCCATGTTTGTGATTGGTCGAATGCTCCAGATGCCACCCCTTTCATGTGAACGCGCACCTAACTAGATAGGACACGGCTGGCTTGAGCAATCCACTTGATAACCAGCGTCGTAGGACCGTTTAGCGAGAGCGCGTATGTTTTGGATTAGGCCAACCGGCTAACTCAAACATATCCAGGTTAGGTTGAACCAGCTTCGTAGTACAGGCCTCTGGTGTGGCCAAGTCTAACTTCCATCCAAACTGAATTTATGGCAGGATTTGAAAATTGCTGTCCACTGCAACTTGACAGAGCTTTTTTTCTTCTGACGAAGAATAATGAAAGACAGCAATGCTAAAATACAGTCCCATCCACTTAAATTCAAGACTGTAACTGTTGGCCAATTTAATCTTTCCTTGTTGATGTGTTACTGTGCTTATAGTTTCATCGTGGAGGCACACAGACTGAAGGAATAACACACACTATGATCTTGTCAGTGTCTTTTTTAGCTTGATTGTTAATTTGTTTCATACTATTTGTTACGTGCCAGGCAGAATACAACACATACTCATACACTAGTGCTGGGCCTTTTATTGTATCAATATTGTGATATTATAAGACTTACCTCATATGTATACCGTATAGATATCCACTTGTTGATGTCATAAGTATCTTTTCGTGATTACTGAACTTATCAGACTGTTGTAGTTGTTTTATCAAAAATGTGATTTGTGTAGTTGAAATATTTTGTGAAAGCACCAAATATATATATATAGCCCAGCCCTAACTCACTCACAGTATCACACACACATCTTACTTAGGAGATACACACATGTAACAGCTACTGACATGCCTAAGGTAATCAGACATGGTGGTCTCTGTAGAAACTACGTGGGAGTAAGCAGTCAAGACATTGGATAAATCCTGGTTATGACTTCATAAAGTTTCTAAGAAAGAAGAAGACGGTGTTTCATCAGACTCAGCAGCTCAGGACGATCCACTGCCCTAGTTAGTCTGTCAACTACTTCCCAAAGGGAGCGACCCACCCTGCTCCTTCTTATCTACCTAGAATAGTGTGTGTGTGTGTGTGTGTGTGTGTGTGTGTGTGTGTGTGTGTGTGTGTGTGTGTGTGTGTGTGTGTGTGTGTGTGTGTGTGTGTGTGTGTGTGTGTGTGTGTGTGTGTGTGTGTGTGTGTGTGTCAGGGGGTCTCGCTAGAGTTTAACTAGAGGAGGTTTCTCTGTGACGTGCTGTTTTTGAACAAGGTGATCAAATATGTGACTGTTGGGTCTATAGGACGTGCTAACCTGGCGATAAGTTACAGAACTCCCCCTCACACGCTGCCTTAATATCTGAAAAACACAACTTGTTATCGCAGGCTGTAAACAAACAAAAATGACAACACTATTTGCCCTAACCCAACTCAACGAAGCGACGTTACCTGTCCTGACTTTAACGCTAGCTAACGAGCTAATGGTACCGCCAAGTCAGTTGCGGACCGGGACAAACCCATGACCGACTGCGGCGTCCTGTCCGTGCCCTGTCGGACACTGAAAATGAAAAAGATGGTAGTTTACCCTAAAAAGAAACTCACAATATGCCGGAGCAGGTGGTACAGACGAAGGAGCCCACTGTCATGTTGACATAGGTCGGGCCGCGCTGGTCGCAGTCGAAGCATTTCCTATTCGCGGGCAGGCTAGTCATTTCCCGGAGCATCTTCAGATGAGTCTCCTCCTGCTTTCGCTTCGCGCTCGTCGCCATGGTAGAAAACAACCGTCTGATATCACCGGGGAGGGGAAGTTTGATCAAGGGACCCGGGACAGTGCGGGTGCCTTCAGGGGAGACTGGTCGTGGCAGACACCTTTCCGAGAGGTCTGGCCGAGAGACTGGGCGACTGACAAACTGCTTCTTCTACTCGGGGTAAAAGTGGGAGACAGACCGGCCTCACAAGCACAAGCGCCATCTGTTGGTTTGGAATAATGCCTAATTTAAAGTAACACTATTCAGGAATGATAATACAAACACACATTGAAACATTTTGTAAAAAAATACTGCGAATTCACACTTTTCATAAAAACAGCTCACAGACAAATTGTCCCACATATGGAAGTTTCCAGAGGAGTAGAAGTAAAAGCCTTGAATCTTGAAAACTTGTAATTGAGGTGTCAAAAACGTTAAAAAAAAACTCCCATTACATAAGGGCACCTTTAAAAAAACAAAACATAAAAAGGGACAGTTATTTATTTAAATTGTGTTTTATTGTTTTTTTAAGACACATTTCTTAAAGCATGAGTTATATTGTACTGCTCAAATTGTGTCCTGAGAATAAATGTGTGAGAACGCAAGAGAACAAACTAAAAAAGAAGAACAAAAGCTAAATAACTTATTAGACAGATAACAATTTCGCAAAATGAGCTGCAGAAATACCTTCAACAGTTTTATAATTTCTTAAAAAATACAAAAATGATACAGTGTACACTGTATTTACAAAAAATACATACATATTTTGGTACTTGTGGGATATCTGTCGCCACTTTTATTGTTTTTTTCAAACTCTCTAAATACGCACTTTAGTTAGGGTTGGGATTGGGATTGGAAAATTAAATAAAAAACAGATAACCCACAAGTACCCTTTTTTCATATTGCAGCATCTCACTATCTCTTTTTGCACATGTTACCACTTGTGTGCATGTTTTAACATTCAAGGCCTTGGTCTCAGCCTTGGCACCCTGAACACAACAGGTGCTCATTGAATATCTAGTGATGAGACATCCGCTGTCTCCAGTGTTGGCGGGGGGGGGGGAAGGCCTCCCCAACAGTGATCACACTGTTCCCTTTCATAGCCCACACCGCCTGCTCTGCTTTCTATGTAGCTCTGCAGGAAACTGCTGGATACACTGAAGAACTGCTCAGTGCACTGCATTGTTGCAGACACTGCTGTTAAGACCAGATCAGATTATTGTATTGTCAGTGGGAGAAGTGCTCCTCCCATGTAGAGACAAAGAAAGAGTCTTGCAAAACTCCTGTTTTGGCTCCTTCAAAATGTGGAGGGTTACTAGAAGGCACTTGGAAAAGCCTAGTCTTCTCTGAATGTAAAACCATGATTCAACATGTAAAGCCTCTAAAACTGTTGAAATGTGTCAATTATTAGCCTAATATAAATTCAAAACACATTATTATTTAGTCACTGTTATGGATGGTGAAGATGCTAGATATAGTCATCAAAACAAGAAGGAGGCATGATGGCTTGTTTAAAAAAATGTCTTATGCCAGACATTTAAGAGTGGGATAACAGATTGTCTCTTTCATTTTTTTCAGAATTGTATCTAATATCAGGAAATGCAGACAGCGTTAAACGTCTTCCAACTTGGACGGTGGAAGCAGCAAGCAGGAGATGTTGGCAGCCTTACTTAGTCTTGGGTCTCTTTCTGTTGCTGCTTGAAGCGTCCACAGGCTGGAGGAAAAAATACACAATTGTTAAGACTAATCAACAAACCACATTTGGAACTACTGAAAATTAAAAGGGATTTTTTTTTTAGTAGAAATCATGATTGATCCAAACATATCAAAGGTCACACTAAGTCACACTACCTTGAAAGAGAACTACAGTTGCATCATGTCAAACCGTAAAGAAAAACATCTCTCTCAAATAAGGGGTTGCACGTTTTAAGCTAATGTAGAAACATGTTGGTGCAACATGGTGGACTCTGTGGAAGTGGTCCTGCTCATTAAGGGGGGTCCTATTATGCTCAATTTTAGGTTCATAGTTGTAATTACTGCCTCTACTGTGACATGTTTCCATGATTTAATGTAAACCAGAGCCCAGTCTGCTCTGATTGGTTAGTTGGCCGGCTCTGTTGTGATTGGTCAACCATTTAGAGATTTCCTGCCTCTTATATATCATGTACTATGTGTTGGAGCACTAGCCAATAGAAGCGCCAGTGTGGAATTAAACAAATGTGTGGATGGAGGTGTTTCAGGCTGTGTGGGAGAGAAACTCCCTCAGGAGGGAACACAGGGATTTTAGCCTTTGCAGACCATTTACATGCACTAAAACCTATATAACACACTACAGGAGAGGGAAACCCCCAAAAGCAGAATTGGGCAACAGTAATTTAATTTAATAGATTTACTGCAATGAATCAAGTTCTGAATCAATTCATGAAAACAATTTAAAAAATCTCTACTTTTTCTCACCTGCGCCCTTTTTCTGGTAACTCTGAAGAAGTCCTCAATGCGAGTCTGCTTGCTTTTTCCCTCTGCCGTCTCTTTTTCCTTCTCCTCCCGCTTACTTTCCCGTGTCTGACGGAACTTCTCCATGCGATGACGGATTCTCTCCTCCCTGAAACACATACAAATGTATACAGTCATAACTGTCTTTGAAAGAGACAGAAAAGCATGTAAAAATAAGTATACGTACTTAAAGTATTTGACGTGGCAGAGAAGTCTAACCAAGGATTCTTCATCTGGCTCAGTCCAGGTGAGTTCAGGAGCTACTGAGTGTGGTGCATCCAGGAATATCTTCCGAGCTTCTTTGTACTCCCAGAAATGTGGCACAGGATGGGTCTGAAAGAAGATATCAAATCTTACACTTTGTTGTAAAGCTACGTACAGAAGGATAATATGACCACTGGTTGTCCAGCTGTTACCTTTCTGTTGACGTGCAAAACCACGTTCTCAATAGTACGGTGCTTCTGGATCAGAGACAGCGCTCTTGTCGGACCCAAACCGGCTATCTTGTCACAGTAGTCACAGCCCAACAGAATACACAGGTCGACAAACTGTTGGAGGAAAAATATGCTAAATGAGAAAGGTTTGAGGCATTATTTGTAGTATTTCCGTGAAGTTCTATTGACACGCTTAATGTTCTGTACTTCGATGATGTCTGTAATGTTCTCACCTCCTCGTGGGTCATTTTGAGTTTCTCTAACAGCTTGGGTAAAGAATATTCAATGACTTTACTGTGAAGAAAAGGAAGAAGAAGAATATAGCTCCCCATAAGTTGGCTGAACACGTTTTTATATTGCCCCTGTCTGGTGAAGCTTTAAAGGAATAGGGTCATTTTACTGAAAATACATCTGAGCATACAAACCATGTAAGGAAGATGGATTCAACAACGTAAAAAAAACTAGGGAATACTTTGGAACATGACCATCATAAATGTACATAAAACAAACAAAAATGGTTAAACTTAAGAAACGCCATTCAAATCAATCACGAAACACACAAATTGCTCAGTTCTTACCTGTCCTTCTTGGCGTTGAGCTGTCGAATGAGAATATTGGCTCCAAACGGCAGAGTGTCCATGTCCTCTGATGCAACGGCATCCACAGTCCCATCTCTCACCAGCTTGGCACACAGCGCCTCAGCATCTCCTGGAGCCTGGATACAAAACAATTCAAAACATGGACTGAGGAAAGCCAGGGAAGAGACACATGGGAAATGAAGGAATACATTGAGCTTTGACCTGGATGACAGGAACACCCAGAAGCTTCAGCAGCTGGAGACAGTCTCTGGTCTGGGGTGAGGCTACATCACAGAACAGTCAAGGTTCACTTTAAAATAATCAACATTAAAATGATATTCCCAGTTCTAGTTCTACAGAACATAATGTCTTCTACAGTAAGTCTGAAACCACCTTAACTTAATATTTTCTTTAAAATCTGTGTTACGGTTTCCTAAAAGTTGAAACTAGTTGCACAGAAATTCACTATTAAAAGGGGCCCTATTCTGCTCATGTTCAGGTTTCATATCAGTATGTAGTGTCTCTACTGGGACTTGTCTCCATGCTTTAATGTTCAGAAAGCTCTTTATTTCTCTCATACTGCCTGTGCTGCAGCACCTCTTTTCACCCCCTAGCTGGCACGCTCTGTTGTGATTGGTCAACCGCTTAGTGATGTCCCGCCCCTTGGCCTATCAGGTACAATGTGTCAGAGCACTAGCCAATAGAAGTGAGAGTGTGATGTAGGGACATCACTATGTCTTTACCTGTCCTGACTTTAACGCTAGCTAACGAGCTAATGGTACCGCCAAGTCAGTTGCGGACCGGGACAAACCCACGACCGACTGCGGCGTCCTGTCCGTGCCCTGTCGGACACTGAAAATGAAAAAGATGGTAGTTTACCCTAAAAAGAAACTCACAATATGCCGGAGTGTAAACAAAGGAGTCCAATGAAGTTGTTTCAGGCAGATGTGTGGGACAGAAATGGAGTGAACTTTGGGATTTGAGTCTTTGCAGATCATTTACATGCACAAAAACCTAAACAACACACTGCAGGAAAGGGAAATCCCCCAAAAACATAAAAGGGCCTTTCTTTTAAGTGGTTGACCAAACACAGAGGCAGCCAGCTAACCAATCACAGCAGACTGGGCTCTGGTTTCAGACAGAGGGTGAAAAGAGGTGCTGCAGCACAGGCAGTATGAGACAAAGAAAGAGCTTTCTGAACATTAAAGCGAGGAGACATGTCCCAGGAGAGACACAGAATACAAATATGAACAGGAAAAAATGCATAATAGGGCCCCTTTAAAAATGATACTTAAGGTGTTTGTGCGACTGGCCCCTGTGCATTTGGTCATCACTCTGTGCAGATGTACCTGTGCCTGTTCGGTTGGGTGACTTCCAACCAGCAGCTTCAGCGCGCTTCTCAAGCTGCAGGAAAAACCGGACTTTAGATTAGCGTGACTGGGAGCCATCTGTATCATACTTCAGGTGTTAGCTGGCCCATTGAATTCACTTTCACTTCATTGTTATGGATATGTTTAGTATAGGTGTCACTTACAACAGCGCTCTTCTCCCTGGGAGGCTTTCCATCAAACACAAAGACTGGCTTTATGTCATGTTCCAGGAAGGTGAGCGTGCGGAAGAAGAGACCAGTCAGGGGGCTACACCCAGGAAATAAATAACATCTCACATAAATACACTGGCCAAAGAATAGAAAAAGATGTTTGGAGACGCCTTGATTAGACTTTATGGATGCAGTTTGTGGTGGACTTGTGTTGGATCCCTTTGTTTTATATATGTTGTATGTATGTATATATGTTGTTCTCATCTGCAAATGAGATGAAGATATTAAAAACCACCACAAAGTGCAGCCCTAAAAAGTACAAACAAAGTCAACTAATACCATAAATGCATTATTTTTATATATGTTAAGCAAAGTAAAGGTTTTTATTCTGAACTGTCCTGGATTAGGTGTTGACATGTATGGACGATTGATGAACTGAGATGGAAGTGGGAAATCATTTATATAATATGCAGGTCACAGAAAGGACAAGTCATGTATACATGAGAAAACGATACTGCTTCTTCACTGTCAGCTTTAAGGAACTCACCTCAGTGAAGGCGTCGCTGCACGGAACTGGTTAATAACAATGGAGGTATCCAGTGCGATTACTTTTCCTGTGGGGAGTAACGCAGCACCAGCATCATCAGCACATTATAATACAACCTCCATGTAGTCAGCTTGTCTTTCATTACATTTTCCAAATGTGTTGTTTCTTTGCAACACATTTATTTCACTATATTTCAGAGGAAAGTATTCATATTTATTCACGTACTTCATTTACATGGCAGCAGTTTATAATAATCAGTGCAAATGAATGCAACTGTAAGTATTCAGAAGATCGTAAAGGAGTATTTTAAATTAAATTGAATATGTTATCTAAGGTATTGTAAGCTAAATGTACTTACAAAAAGTACTCTGTATGCAGTATGCCTATTTCACAGTATTGTTTTTACATTATAATTATATCATTCTGTTTTTATCCCTAATAAATACATATAAGGCATTTTGTAGTTTGTCAATAAAAAGTCAACTTAAGATACTTATAATGCCGAGTTATTTGTGTTTTTAAATGCAAAAAGTATATTTGACTACAAAATATAGAAAGTAGAAGTATAAAGGAGGAATATTTGGAAATACTCAAGTAAAGTACCTCAAAATAGTACTTTAGCACAGTACTTTTGTAAATACTCTTGATAACATGATAAATCAGTGAAGTAACGTTAGTGTTACTTCTAAACAGGTTTACAGGTAAGGTAACTAAATACATTTACTGAAGTATGGTACTTAAGCACAATTTAAATACATGTAGTTACTTCACAGATGTGGATGAATGATGTGAAATATAACCAAGTGTTAAATCAGACTTTAGTTCCACCTGGAGTAAATCCACCAGCTACCCTGCAGAATACAAAGTCATTCAAACTAGCTGCACCTTTACCAGCTTTGAGAACACTTTCATGATCAATCATTATAAAACATATCATATATATTATTCTGAAATGGACCAATCTGCACAATGAATACTTTTACTTTTGGTACTTTAAGTATATTCTGATAATGCTAACACTTTTGTACTTTTACTGAGTAACATTTTGATTGCAGGACTTTTACTAGTAAGTAACAGAGTATTCCTACACTCGAGTACTTCTACTTTTACTCAAGTACAAGATCTGTTTACTTCTCCCACCTCTGTTTACATGAGTATTTGATTCTAGTAGTTAACAACACATTGAGCTAAGCTAACTAGCATTCAGGTGCTATGCCAACTTTAGCTTTTTAGCCATAGCCCCTTGCTAGACACACATCACCAACACAAGTACATTATAACGATAAAAAGATGATGCGGTATATTACCCGTGTAGTCACTGATATCCTTATGAGAAATAGCACCAGGAGCATCCTGACGGATCAGATCTGCCAGTTTGGTGATGCCCATTGTCACACAGCAGCACCACTGCCTAGTCTGCCTTTGTGGATTAGGAATACTTCCGGTAGAAGAGGAAAAACACTTGTTCAATTATGGTTGGATCCAAATTAAATTGGCGTTTGTTTGGGATCTTTGGCAGATCAAGTGGACTTTGCATTAACCGAAACTACAACAATGTCCGGTTAAATGCCCTGAACATCTCCCTGCTGTTGCACCCAGCAGAGCAGCAGGGGGCAGCATTGCTCAAACACAAACTGGAAACAATTGACATCCATCATTTATTACAGAAAAATATTAACAGACAATGAATGTATTCATATATTACAAAGAAAGTTAAATATGTAAGTTAAACTCCAGCTTTTGGCAGTATGTTTAACAAAACAAGTTGGTTACAGCAACATTTTTGGATGTGATAAATTATGGTATACATTGCCATCTATTTCATGATCATACACATAGTAGCTCTAATATTTATTTCACACCATATAATGAATAAAACCACAGTCCATGCTTTTAGTCTCTTATGTAACTTAGGTAAATCACAAGTGGTCAAATTCTTTAAAAAAAACAACTACAATAACTTTGAAACAGTAGAAATCGCATGGAGAAACATCACTGCACAGATGAGCCTTAGTATTCCACCCTAAGTATTTGTGTTGACATGTTAGCTACATCATCCAAAGTAAAAGAAAAAATTGAGGAGAAAGTACAACATTGACATCGATAGGCTGTACATGAATGTTTTGTGTGTGGAGTTCAGGACATCCAGGGTAAATGTTATGGCATCTCTAGATTTAGACATCTGAATTTGACACTTTTATTATGGTAGTTTTTTTTTCTTCAAACAGACAGGATGGGTCAGGTCTGAGGTTCCCAAAACATTTGTGGCTTTAGTAAATCCTTGTGTTCCCCTCTTATAATTCTTCTCCTGAAGTGAAACATTGTGTATGAGCTCACAGCCTCAGTGTAACATCCTTTACAGAGAATCTATCAAGCTTAAATGTGCAATCAGTAGCACTTGCACTAAATAATCATGAAGTGAGGGAGGCTAAGCAAAGCTTGTTGAGAAATATACCAGGCATTCCTTGTTTTGATCCACATATTATATATATTACCGGTACCACATTTAGTTTTCCCTACGGATAAGTGTACGGCTGTACCAAATTATTATTATTCAAAGCTTTTATTGATGTTGTCAAATAAAGCTTCAAAGTATGTTGTTGTATTTTTTGACAGTATCAGAACCAACATGTTTTCAACAATCATTCGATATCAAAATAGTTTAGCAATATTTTTGTAATTTGAGTTGTAATTATATTTGTACGACAGGAACCTGTGTTGTATCTAGGTTCAGCTTTTCACATCGAAGCAGTTGCTAACCTTTTGCAAAAACAGTCAGTTGTGTTTCCTTACCTCCTCTGCTAGATTGTGGCACTGCATACAGCCCTCACCTGATTGGGTGTGCAACAAATGGTCAGCGGTAACTAGGTCAAATTTGAAATGTGAGCAGTGACCATTTCAAATGGTACACGATGCCGAGGGTAGCTCTGCCGCCTAGTCGGGCAGCACTGCTCCTCCGTAGAAACACAACGGATACGCCAGCACACAGCTGTTTTACTATCATGTGAATACAGCTTAAGATCATATCTTGACAGCGCTAGGCTTTACATTTGGAAGTGAAATCCCAAAACAGAACTTGCTAGGATTAGAAAGAGACGAGTACTGTATGGTGGAGGACATTTGCTAATGTTCTTGTAGTTTCCTGTGGTTGACTGTAATTTAAGTAAAGACTAGTAGTGTATTTCAATGGTTGCACCTTTAACAAGGAATTGCTTTAGCTTCCAGTGTTCTGGGGGACTCGGTCTGGTCCAAACCTCAGCGCCGGAGCCAGATCCAGGTGTTGATGAGCCAGAAGGTCACCGTAGCAGAGTACAGGATCACCTCTCGCTTGGAGCGCTCTTTGTTTTCCTCCTCCAGCAGCTGCAGGCGGCGGTTCAACTTCACAATCTGAATAATGACCACAGAAACCTTTCATCATCTACTTTAAAAAAGGGAAAATGTGTCAAAGTACATCCAAAGGATTACCACTATTTGGTTTCCAAGTTAAGTGTTAAGTATGCAAGATGATGTCAAAGGACCTTGTTTAAAAATCGACAGACACAAGGAACATTTTGATATTTGTGTGATCATGTGTTAGAAAATTACAACATATCAAACAAACTTCCATTAAACCCCAAAACCACATCAGGTGAACACTAATCAGGTGAACACTAATATAACATGTCAAGTCATTTCTTACTGGCCCCATGATGTAATGACTGCTTGTATCTGTAATGTATTTCTGATGTTTGTGTACATCTCAGCATATAACAAAGCCAGTTGTATCTCCTCTGATATGTGACACCTAAACTTGCTGTGTCAGCATGCCTTTGTAACAATTCAGTTGTAGATAGTGAAGCTAAAAATAGGAGAGAATACTTGCAACAAGCAGAATATGCACACCAGAGCAGATGAGGAGCACATGAATCACTTATCAGCGACAGATGAAGCCATTTAGGCGTGTGAGAGGTATTACCTGCCGTCGCAGTGACGAGGCGTCCATTAGGCCAGACTCCTCAGGGTTCATATCCAGAGCCAGCTCCAGGTGGGACCTGTGAGTACATATCCACACATTTAGTATTACAGCATTTGTTCTACAATACAGTCATTCATTTAGCTTTCCTCTTGTTCATTTGAATATGTATTCTATTTTCTTAGAACTGCAACATATATTCAATGTTATTTTCTTTTATGTTTAAGTATATTCTGTTTTGCAGTGTTGGAGGAGCTACACTGTTGATGTGACAAATAAAGCCTTGGAATCCTTTGAAGATCAAAATATCTCAATTTAGAATAATGCCAACAGTGACATACTTCAAATGAGTGCAACTCAGCGGCTTTCTGCATAGCTACAGAAACAGTCCAACACACATTTATCCAACCATATCATGTTGTTGGACAATAGCGTTAAAAACCTGAACAAACATCATGACGGCACAAGTTCAATGTGTATGGCTTTATTATAATGTACAATTCATTAAGATGTTCCTGCCCTGTTTGGCTGCCTTGCTTCAGAGACTCCTATACTCCATACCTTTGTCCTGCATTACAGCTCCACCTGGGAAGCTTCCTCAAGGTAACAAGGCTGTGGCAGGAGCAGCTCTGTAATCAATCAGTCCGAGTATACTCAATGAATTATAAATACAGATATAATGCTATTTGCAACATATATGATTGATTTGAACCTTCTGATTTCATATTTAAATAATAACAGACTCAAAGCCGACCAGCTCACACCTGCACACTCAAAGCCTTTCCGGTAGCGATCCGTCTGCCAGGGTTGTTTAACACCAAGCCCTTAATAAGAGCCAACACACAAACCCAGCAAAAATATGCAATAATAACAAAGCACTAACTTTCTGAATTCTAATAGAAGAATAGTCACAATTGTACTGTTTCTGTTTTTATGTAAAGGGTCTTTGAGCATTAGGAAAAGCGCTATAACAATCCAATGTATTATTATTATTATAATTGTGACGACTCGCTTGCTGTTTGTCATGAGCATAACGTTTCCTATTTTCAGGAATTGTCTTCCACCACCAGGACCAGCTGTTTGTCTTCAGAAACTGATCACAGTGCTTTCTAAGAATTACAGGGACAGAGGAAGACAGATGACCTGCGGGGGGTGTCGTCCAGCACCTCGATGACCTGCTGGTACGCCCGGCGTGTCGTCGACTGGATATAATACATGAAGCCGGCAGCTGTAAACAGGTTGATGTGCGCATCCTCAGGGGAACAGAGGGGGGGACACAACCGGACTGGGGGGGCAGAAGGGGAAGGGGTTACACTGGCGGAGAGGTAAGTGGAGAGAAACGGTAAAGAGATAAGATGTTTTTATAAAGCAGATATGTGAAATAAGTATAACATATAATACGTTTATTTAAAACATACACATTAATATCACAAGCATTTCAGATGTGGGCTTACCTTACATCACCTCTGACGCTCTGACAGCTGTGGCGGCCATGTATGTTCTCACTCGCACTGCGTTCCCTCCGAGACCGAGAGTGAAAGTGAGCCTACAAAGTATACACAGATTGGACATGTTGTCAGGCTCAAATGAAACGGTAAAGTAGGCCTCCAGAAACATTTTGCATGTAGCGAGTATTTAGCGAATACTTTCCTATGATTATTATAAGGGCTTCACAATTCATTTAAAAATTGTATTTAAATGGCAATATGGACAAATGCAATATTCAAATTGAAGAAAGCGCAATATTTGTTAAAGACTAAATATGTTCTGAGAGCCCTCAGCTATCAAACTCCTCTGCTGTGGAACCGGGTTCCAGTTTAACACTATCTTTAAGAACTCATATCCCAGAGATGCTAACTAAGCATCCAGGTTATCATTCCTAGAGTTCTTTTTCTTTTTCTTCTTGTCTTCAACCGGCTCATTGCAAGTATTAAAGGATACGTCTGGATCATGAGTCATCATGAGCTTTTTGTCATTTGGATTATCAATGTGTTTTGTTCAAATCTATGCACAAGACACCGATTGCACGTGTGTCTGTCCTAGGAGAGGTATCCCTCCTCTGTTACTCCCTGAGGTTTCTATCATTTTTTCACATCAATTGTGGGGTTTCTTTGGCCCTGGAACAGCTTGGAGGGGAGTTTCAAGTCAATTCAATCAATTGTACAGAAAAATACAAAGGATGAAAACGTACCACCTGGCTGGGATTGCTATGAGAAGCGGTAGTTTGTTCCGTTTCCATAGAGTCCAGTGGCTGCTCTGCAAGAGTGAGGACACGTGGGGGGGCCTTCATGTCCAGGAGGTCCATGGGAGGGATCGATTGGATCAGATCCAAGTCTCGAGGACGAGAAAATTCAGAGTCGCCATCATCACCTGTGGAGAACAGGGACAGTTCAATAAAAAGGGTCGGGTTAGGCCGGTTAGATAAGTAAAATGCAAACAGTGTGTCGACTTTCAGCTCTCCATGCTGAGTTGTGTGTGTCTTGTCCTCACCTGCTACGATGATCCTCTCCGGCACCTGCATCATGGTTGTGTGAATGGGCAGGGGCTGCTGAAATTGTAGGGACTCTGAAGGGTTCCCCGAAGCCACCTTGATGGTATCAGGTATTCGCATCCTCTGGCTGATGCCCTCTGTGTACTCCAACTGATAATGGATGCGGCTCATCTCTGCCACCTCTGCAGAGAGGGTGGTGTAGGGCCCACTCATCTGGCCTGTAAACACATTCAATGAATAGAAAAAGTAAGAAGTTGGACTGTAAACATTTAAATGCCTGTCGTGTCATCTTGAGTTTGTGTTATAGTACAGAGCAGTATCATTATACCTGATTACAATAACACATAACATTACTTCAGTACATGCTTACTGGTTGCTTGTCTAATAGTACTGCCCAAAATATACTGTAGCCCGGGCATGTCCCATGAGGAACCAAATAAAAGCCCAACCACATGATGGAAGGTAGGGGGTGTATACGCTTAAACTAATACATAATACATTTCACGTTGGGTTACATAAAATTACCTAACGTTGACATGAGGTGTAGCTGTTGCTGTCACATGGCCTCAATGTCATTGAATTAAAATCCTCATCTGACGCCATGTCTAGCATGTAGCTAATATGTAGCTAATGTCACTAGTATGTTTAGCATTAGCTAATGTTGCCTTTACCATAACACGTTAGCTAAGCAGTGCTTTACAACCGCGGACTGCCCTCTGTAGCAGAGATACTAATGCTCGATCAGCTTTATAATCTAGGACTACTTACCGTTATGGTTTTAGCACCAGGTGTTAAAATGTCATGTGTGAAATTGCTGTTCTTACTGCAAAATGAACAGCATTTACAGGAATGGACGACAAGTGAAACCGAGGTACACACCGCTTCAAACTAGCGTATGCTTGTGCACATCCGCCAGCGATATCCTGCGTGTCCGCGGGGGCGGAGCGTATGAGCCCAACGCACTGTCAGTCAAACCGACCCGCCTCAGTAGGGGGCACCCGGATCCGAAAACGAGCGCACACAATTATCACACTCAAATTAGTTAGTTCAAATAAAATGTTTATGTAATTGTCAGACCTAGGTCATACACAATAACAAAATATTATTTACGTATTTATAACAATAATACACTAGTATTGTACCAGAATAACAACAATTCCTTACTTGCAGAGAGAACACATAATTTCCTCATTGTTTACTGACATTTCATAACAACGAACTATAATAGAGAAGGATGTGAAAATTATAATTTTTTCAGAAAATCTGTTGATGGATTGCTTTTCATTATGATGTTGTGGTAACGATGATGAAGCCGGCCAAAAGATATAATGAAAACAACCTAATATTTAACATAAGCATATGACCTAGGCCTACCCCAACCCTTTGACTGGTAATAATTGAATGGAGTTAATAGGTCACTCCTTCACAGTTGGTTCAACAAATTAACATGCACATGGTACACTGTAAAAGAATGCCAGTAACTGGGCTAGTCCAAATGCTTTCAATACAAATATTCCCACATACAACACGTTTCAGGTGCATTATTCATGCTAGTATGCATCTAATGTGTATGGGCCCCATTGATTTTATTAAACAAGAATGTATTCTGATATATTCATCAAGTATAGGCACAGTATTGACAGCACCTAAAAGGGCCTTCAAACTAGACTTTGACACATTATGTATGGCACATGACACTATGCCGCTGAAATGTAGTCACAGGTGAATATGTATCAGTGATAGAAGAAGTAGCAGAAATTACTAAAACCACAATTGTGTTACAAGTGAAATTCCTGCATTAGTATAATAGTGTATTAGTATAATGAAGAAAATATTTTTAAAGCACCTTAAATTAACATTAAATAATTATTTATGCAGTCACATGTACTGTAATGATACATGTATTGTTGTTATCAGGCTAACCCTATTCTATATTCCATTATATTTTTATATTGTACTTTTGGGTTGCTTACATTACTGCACAACAATACAATGTTCCTCATTTAATAATCATTACATGTTGTTTAAAAAATATATTTATATTCATCTGAAAATGAACTACCAACTAAATTCATCAAACTAATGTGTGTTGTGGAGTAAAAATAACAGTATTCCCATCTGTAGAGAGTAGCATAACATGTAGAAAGGCTACTTTAAAAAGTACACTTACCTAAACATTTGACTTAATTCAGTAGATTTACTTAAAGTATTTGGTATATTTTAATCATGAATGTCTGCGACAGCATCTAAATTGGATTGACAGTTTAGAAATACACCTCCCACAATTCCACCTTCTTGGATCCCACTGCGCATGCGTCATCCGGCTGGGCCATTATTTTGTCCTCCTCAAGCTTCAAATGAACAACAGGCTAAGCGTTCCTTGAAATGAATTAAATATTTATAGACGCAGGGAGCATTTCATCTTCTTGTTCGTCACAAATGGAGTCTCTCGGTTAACAGCTTGTTGTCTCGCCGGGCCACTCAGTCCTCCGTTGGACTCGGAGGCCGAAAACACAGCGAGGAGTGACAGCCCCGTTAAAGCCAGCAGACTGGGTGTTTATCTAGTTGGCTAGCCACCTAGCTAGCTTCCTAGACAGCTAAGAGGGGAGGAAACACCCGAAAGGACCATTCGGTAACCTCGGAAAGACAGAGCTGTGGCTGTCCCGGTCCCGTCCAACCGGCAGAGAGGATGGCACACCTTCGAGACATGCAGAACCAGGTACAAAAATCCTCTTTTAACCGACTGTCACCTCCCTTTAAGGTCCAAGACAAGTCGAACCCCCATGACTGTCAGGCTCTCCATGAATAGGTGGGGAGGGGGTCTAAGCTATCAATGCAACTATGCAAGTGACAAAAACCTAGCATATACACACACTTATGTACTCATTTATTTCGGCAGCATCAGGTGAAACAATGTCATTAGACCTTATAACAGTAGGCCTATACAGTAAAGTTGTACATGTCTCCATTGTTTTAGTCTTGCCATTATCACATACTGCAGACAGTACAATATTTTGAAAGGAGTTGACTTCATTAAGGGCCTCCTCTCCTACTCTGTTAAATGATAACTCATTTCTGTTATGCAAAGAGAAAACCACTGAACCTATACGTTGGGTGTCACTTGAATGACATATTGGCACAAAGTTCGATCTACAGTCCAGTTATTATACAGGCAGTGACTGAAGAGATGGGTTCATGGACACAGATAAGAATCAGATCAACTTTTTATATTACAGCAGTGAATTAGATCATTTGTATGTTGGCTAACAGATGTCATGTAGGGCTGGGTCGATACATGGAGAATATGTATTATTACGTTATTGCAACAATATCTTTGGGTTGACCATTTGGGATTCAAAAAACATTTATACAATGACATTTTCAACAAAGAATCAATAGTAATGTGTATATAATAACAACAAATTGGTAAAGGCAAATAATAAAACAACTAAAACAGTCTGTTCAGTTCAGAAAATGACATAACTTCAGCATTTGAATCCACACAACACTATTATGCTCATTGTGAGGTTCATATGTATATGTTGTGCCTCTACTGTGACTACTACTTTAATGTTCAAAAAGTGCTTTATTTGTGTCATACTTGTGACTGGTCAACCTCTTAGAGACAATGTGTTGGAGCGCTAGCCAATAGAAGCACCATATTGTTACATAGTGATGTCACTATGTACAGAAGAAAACAAAGTATTCCAAAGAAGGTGTTTCAGGCAGGGGGGAGTGTGTGGGAGAGGAACACATGGATTGTAACCTTTGCAGAACACTTACATGCACACAAACCTATAGAACAGACGTCAGGAAAGGGAAAACCGTGAAGAAATAGGGCCTCTAAAAACCTTTAGTTAGCAACTATGCAATACTAAGTCATACCAACCTTTCCACCTTGGTATATGTGGAGAACTTAAAGAAAACACCACAGATTTAGGAATGACTTAGATGAGAAGATTGATGCTGCAGCGGGGTTATCATATAGTCTCTATACCCTAACTAATATTATAATACATTAAAACAGACTTTTAGTCTTTGCAGACCATGCACGGAAACTTCTATAACACACTACAGGAAAGGGATATCCACAAAAAGAAGTGTCTTTCATATCAAGATATCAATATAATATCAATATATTGCCCTGCCCTACTGTCACTTTGAAATGATCCTTCTATAAAAGGACATTCATATAAAACAAGTCATATGCTTTGAGACACACACAAATAAGCCCCTCGTCATCATGACAAACACTTCATAATAATTCAATGCTTTCTGTCACTGGATCAGAATACCCGGTTGGACCCCGAGGAGTACTTCACCAAGCAGGAGCGGATCGGGAAGGGGTCCTTCGGGGAGGTCTACAAAGGCATCAACAACCGCACAAAGGAGGTGGTGGCCATTAAAATTATCGATCTGGAGGAGGCGGAGGACGAGATCGAAGACATTCAACAGGAGATCACGGTGCTGAGCCAGTGCGATAGTCCATTCGTTACCAAGTATTATGGATCATACCTGAAGGTGAGACACAAGTTAAAAAGTGATACAGATTATTTGCAGACATCAACATGTCAGGGCAAATCCTTCACATTTTTTTAAAAACTATTTATTTATTTGTACTTTCAACATTTTTTTTTTTTACATACAATATAAATAAAACAAAGTGTGTTGTATGCTTTCTATGGAAGAGGATTTGGGCTACATGTGATTTTTTTTTAGATCTTACAAAATAATTTCTGTCAGTTAAGTCAGAATTCTGAGGAAAAAGTCACAATAAGAAATGTATTTCAAAGATAAATTACTTTTGGCTCTTGTTCTCTTCCGTAGTATTTCATCTGAATGCAGTTTTGAAAATAAATCCTAATAATCTTGGACGTCTTTAATCTAATATTGTTCCTGTCAGGGGACCAAGCTGTGGATTATCATGGAGTATTTAGGTGGAGGATCTGCTCTGGATCTGGTAAGAAGACTTATATATTCATATCGCTTTTTATTTACATGAGGAAACCTTGAGCAGTTCTTGGTTCTTTCTCATCACTTCCACCTTTTTTAAATATATATATATTTGTTTGTTCTTATCTAGCTGCGTCCAGGGCCTCTTGAAGAGACGTACATTGCTACTATACTGAGGGAGATCCTGAAGGGGCTGGAGTATCTGCACTCAGAAAGGAAGATCCACAGAGATATCAAAGGTAATAAGCACTCTCTATCATATGAATTCATATCATTCTACAGTGTGTTCCTGCTACAAAGCCAGATATCTTCTCATCATTCAGAGTAGGGATGTTTTGATATACCAGCATAGACAATAACAGTGATTACTTCAACATTTGATATTGATAACATACTTATAAAACAGATAATACATTGTAAATAATGCAGCGCCTCTTAGATCACCAATCAAATATGTTTCCGTACAGTTATGGTAACAGATTATCTCTCCACCTCCCTACTACAGTAGTTGCCTAATGGATTTGTTGCTCAACAGAAAAAAGAAGCTGATTTCAGCCTCTCGAATAAGGACGTTTTCCTGTTCATAACATTAAATTGACTATCTTTGGGTTTTGGACAGACAATACAAGACATTTAAAGACGTCAACAGAGTGATGTTCAGAGCTCATTTGCATCAGTATTCTGTATTAGCTTGAAATGCTTTGATGTCAAAGCTACCGGCGAACAACATGTGTCCAGTCCAGGGGCGGATCTAGACAAATATTCATGGGCTGGCAAGAATTTCAGGGGTGGCATCCCCTGGCAGAAGTATATGCTGATTTAATCGCAGTCATATCAACAATGTTAACTTGGAAAGCCACAATATTGATATTTTAACTCAATAACATTAGGTGACATTATTGTGGCACATCAGTAGCCTTACAAGTTGGCAGACATCATTTAATGAATTTTAACTGAACAATAACTGAATGAGTTTGTCTCACTCTTAGA